TACCCTAACCTCTGAGAACCGACTGGACCAGCGCTACACAGTGCAGTGACCCCATCCAACAGAATAACGTATTCCAAATTGAATTGCAACAGTGAGCTATGATATGAAGTTGCACTGTATGTAAAAGTGCTTATTTTCTAGACATAGACACTCTGTTTTGGAAAGAAATTAAGCGACTATCTCCTAAGTAAGCAAAGGAGGCAGGGAGTACACAGAGGGATGGAATCCACAGAATATCTTAGAGCTCTGGTTGTTTCGTGCAAGACACTAAGAAAACGCATCCTTCTCTGGAAGACCTGTTTCTCCTGGCTCATATGGAAGTGGTAGGAGGGGCCCAGGGAGAGAGGGAAGGTGAGGACCACAACGAAATCTGCTGCCCCATCCAGGCAGCATCGGCCCTTGGGCTGAGCTGTAGCTCCCTGAGGACCCAGGTGAATCTTGGCGCCAGCACAGGGACATGGCAGGGAAGCTCACTCCCTGCTTCCGCTATTGACAAGTGTCAGTGCATTCCTGGCCACCTGTCTCCCTCATCTGAAAACAGGAATTGAGCCAACACACTCAGGACACCCTGTCCTCTCTTCCTCACCTCCAAGGAAATATCAGTCCCCAGTAGAAGAGTGCAGGGGGAAGGGGCCAGTCATTGCTCAGCCCCTCGATTCAGCTCTTCGTACAGGACTGCCTCCTGGGCCACACTGATGAACCTCTGGCTGGGAATGGGTCCCGAGCTGGGCCAGGTGCAGGAGCACGGCCACGCCCCGGCCACGGCACGGGTCGGGGCAGCATCTGACCCGTGGGGCCGACTGCAGCACATCTGTAGAAGTGACAGCCGGGGGCCAGAGAGAACAGTGCTCACTTTCTGTGTGGAGAGGAACAGCTCTGGACTCACCAAGACAGCGTTGCGTGCCATGTGGGGAGCGGGCCCACAGAGGCACGATTCCAGCTCCCAGCTCCATTTCCAGTCACCCGAGGCCCAGCCACAGCGGGGGTCCTGCGCGCGCAGCAGCCTTCCAAGTGCATTCTCCTTGGGGTCTCAATGAATTCAAAGTAGCTTTTGACGGGTATAACAACAGCAAAACCCTCAACGACAGTTACTTGTTATCACACTGTACCCTTTGTGTGTTTTGGTTTCCCCAAAGAAGAATTTTTTTTCTAATTATAAGAATGGAGCCCTGGCCGGTTTGGCTCAGCGGTTAGAGCATCGGCCTGTGGTCCTGAGAGTCCCGGGTTCAGTTCCCGCTAAGGGCATGTACCTCGGTTGCAGTTTGTATCCGGCTCTGGTCGGTCGTGCGGGTGGCAGCCACTCAATGTGTCCCTTCACATCGATGTTTCTCTCTCTCTCTCTCTCTCTCTGGTTCTCTCTCTCCCTCTGGTTCTCTCTCTCCCTCTCACTCTACCTGAACAAAAAATGGAAAAATGTCCTCGGGTGAGGATTAAAAAAAAAAAAAAAGAATGGATACTCACAAAAATTCAAATGGTATCGAAAAGGATACTATAGAACATTAAAATGACTGTAATTCTACCATCCAGACGTAACCACTACCTTTTAATATTCTTCTAGGCATTTCTTTCTTTTGAAAGATAAATAGATAATTTGATAAGAGTACAATTTTCTAACACACAATTTCACCTAAAATTCTGTGTTGGGTATTTTTATTAAACAGTAATTCTAAATCTACATTTAAAAAATGGGTGCACGGTGCCCTGGCTGATTTGGCTCAGTGGTTAGAACGTCAGCCCATGGTCCAGAGAGTCCTCGGTTGCAATTTGTCCCTGCCCCGGTTGGGGTAGTGTGGGTGGCAACCAGTCAATGTGTCTCTCTCACATCGATGTTTCTCTCTCTCTTCATCTCGCTCTATGCAAGAAATGTCCTCGGTGAGGAAAAAAAAATGGGTGCACAGTATTTTATCATATAAAATCACTTTATTGCCCTGGCCGGTTTGGCTCAGCGGTTAGAGCATCGGCCTGTGGTACAGAGAGACCCGGGTTCGGTTCCCGCTAAGGGCATGTACCTCGGTTGCAGTTTGTCCCTGGCCCTGGTTGGTCGTGCGGGTGGCAGCCACTCGATGTGTCCCTTCACATCAATGTTTTTCTCTCTCTCTCTTCCTCTCTCTCCCTCCCACTCTATCTGAACAAAAAATGGAAAAATGTCCTCGGGTAAGGATAAAAAAAATAAATAAAATCACTTTATTAATGTACCTGGTCTCCTTTCTTGTGCATTTAGGTTATTTCAAAAGTTTTATTGTTCTAAAGAGCACAACAATGAACATCTTCATATGTATGTTTTGAGCATTTATTACCTCTTTTTTTTTCTTTCTGGAACATGCCCCTAGTGGGAACCGAACCTGGGACTCTCTGGTCCGCAGGCCAATGCTCCAACCACTGAGCCAAACCGGCCAGGGCTCCTTTTGAAGATACATTTCTCACTTCTCAAATTCTAACATTGTTAATTGTCCCGTGGGGCTCAGTGCTTCCTGTGGACTGTCCCATTAGTTCCACAGATGCCTTCTTGATTTGCTCCTTATTCATCCATACTGTCAACAAACATTTACTGAGGGTATACTATGTGCCAGACACTACTAGATTTTGTGGATGCGTTTCGGTTTTTATTCTTAAGGACGAAGAAGAAACTACCATGTATTGAAATTTGAGTCTGTATCAAGCACTGTATAAAATTCTTTATTTTTATTATGTATTCTTTTCTTTTTTTTTTTTTATCCTCACCCGAGGATATTTTTCCATTTTTTGTACAGATAGAGTGGGAGGGAGAGAGAGACAGAAACATTGATGTGAAGGGACACATCGAGTGGCTGCCACCCGCACGACCAACCAGGGCTGGGGACAAACTGCAACCGAAGTACATGCCCTTAGCGGGAACCGAACCCGGGTCTCTCCGGACCGCAGGCCGACGCTCTAACCGCTGAGCCAAACCGGCCAGGGCTATTATGTATTCTTCATGGACAATAACAATACAGCAATCCTGTACAGTGGTTATTGTGTGTGTGTGTGTGTACACACACACACACACACACACACACATACGTATGATCAGAAAGTTTGAGCAGCTTGTCCAGGTCATACAGTAGCTTGTCCAATGTGAAGCTGGACTATGAACCAGGTCTGTGTGGTTCCCTTTGGTCACACACAGTTTAAGGAGAGAGATGTGCAAACAAATGACAAGCCCGGCCGCACGTGCTCTGTAAAACCTGAGCCTCGCCGTCCGTCCACCAGCCGCGGTGATCAGCAGACAAGTCCTTTATCTGTAGCAGGGAGCTTTTCACTAGTCCGGGTTAGAGAGGTAAAACCCAAACCGAAATGGTTTGTCCCGCTCCGCGTAGCTCCAGGAGGCCCTTGGGAAGCCAGAACATTCCGGAAAGATCGGAGCAGACAGAGCCATTTGAAAGAAGAGCTCAGCGGACAGGGACACACTGTTGGGGGGTCTTGGGGCTCAGGCTGCTGGAGATGACACCCTGAGGGGCCTCACAGTCCAGCATCAGCCCACCCTTGGCATACGCCGGCATTTCGCTGGAGGCTGGGCACGGAGGAGCCTGGAAGCATGTTCGCCGGGCACGGGGCTGCAGTGGCCGGTGAAGCTTGGACAGTCTGCGACTCAGAGTCGCTGAGGGCTTTAGAGCTGTCTGGACGCGGTCCACAAAGCTGCCCAGGCCGCACCCACGATGCCAAGCCCGGGAACGCGTCCCCACATGGACAGGCCTCGGCTCTTTCCCTCTCTGAGAGAAGACCCAGGAGCAGAGCATGTGCCTGGGCGTCACCCTGTGGAGCCGGTACCTCCATCCTCCTTCCTTTGATTGTGTTCCAAGTGGACCCCTGTCCTGTGGCTGGACCCCCACTGGAGGGACCATGGCAGAGCACAGTGACTTCCAAACTCCCCTCCACCCCTTTCTCCTTACAAACAAGCTCTTGACTGAAACACCAATCGATAAAGCACATTGCATTGGACCAGGACCCCTCCCTCTCTGGGAGGTTCTGCTTGGTACACGGTTTAAAACCACCACCACAGCTTAGACGAGCCCTGAGTTTCAGGTTAGAACGCCAGGTTCTAGTCCGGCTCTCAGCTTAGAAAGAGTGTGGCTTTCGAGAAATCACTTACCCTCTTCAACTCTGCTTTTTCATCTGTGAAATGAAGATGCTAATTCTTGTCTATTAAGAGGTGACTGAGCATCTGGTACAAGCGTGTGGGTAGAAGCAGCTGGAAAAGGCAATAAAAACGGGCACGGCTCCTCTGCTGGCTTCTGCACATTTGCATGACTTCTCCACAACCATGGGTTGCAGGTCACCGCGTGGGACCAACCAGCCTGACTTACTTTGATGGTTTCCAAAGAGAAATGGTCGTTTTGAAGGTAGAATTCTTTGAATTTTTCTCCCTTCCATGTTGTTCTTCTTGCACGGCCCTCTGCAGACAGACAGACAGACCCACTTCGTGTCTCCGTCCCCACAGCCGGGTCACAGTGTCTTCTGTGGCAGGTGCCCCATGTGTGCCAGCTGGCTTGTCACGTAGATGGAGGACTGTCTGGACACCCTTAGCAGGAACGACAAGGCCATTCCCTGTCCTTCTCTGAGCGAACCCAGGTCCATACGAAGTAAAACACCGAGTCTCTTGTCCGAGTCATGTCGGAGGAACCGTGACTTCCCACGGTTGTCCGGCTGCTGCCCACGCACGAGGCGGAAGCTGAGTGAGGCAGTGATACACGTCCACTCCAGACCCTCCCGCCAGCGAAGCCAGCGACCTGGGGATGAAGGCGGTGGGTGGGAACAGTACCCTACCCGTGGGGTGCATCAGAGGGAACACGTCAATCTCTCAGTCATGGGCTGACGTAAGTAGTGAGCTGAAGCCTGGCCAGTTTGGCTCAGTGGTTACAGCGACAGCCCACGAACCAGAGAGTCCCGGGTTCGGTTCCCGCTGAGAGCACATATCTCAGTTGCAGTTTGTCCCTGTCCCCGGTTGGGGTCGTGTAAGTGGCAATCAGTTGATGTGTCTCTCTCACATCAACATTTCTCTCTCTTCCTCCCCCTCCTGCTCTATCTGAAGATAAGTGCAAAAATGTCCTTGGGTGAGGATAAAAAAACGTAATAATGGGCTTGATTTGGAGGGCAGTTTAGTAAGTCACGTGCCCACACTGCCAGGGCGTTCCGGCTACTGCAGGACGCCCGGGGCGGGATTCGAAACTGACTTGGGTGATGTGAGTTGTAGCCCCACGATCCCAGATGGCCACCAGCTGTTTACCAAAGGCACAGGGATGTCGGTATGGCATTAAATTGGACAGACTTAGCTTTCTGGGTAGGAACTCAACTGCTCTTGTTGTGATTTCTTCAAGTAGAGTGGCTTTAGGGCCACGACATCAACAGTTACCCCTTAAGCGAGTTGGCCCTCCCAAAGGGCCTGTGGTTCGGATGACCTGTTATGGACAGGGTAGAAACCGGATTTCAAATGGGGACAATAATTCTGTCCCTCATCCCACCGACCCGCAGAGCTTAATCGAGCAGCTCCTCGCCCGGAAGACATCGACTTCCTCCTTTTGCACCTGCTTTGACATTTCCTGCAGGCTCCGAGCCCACTTGGCTTCTGTGGAGCCACAGAGAACTTCCTGGAACTGCACCGCCCATCTTTGCATTTTCCTTTGAGTGACAGCATCCGATGAAGAGGAAGAATAAACAAGGAGAAGGAGAGAGGCCACGCGCAGAGGCTGTAGCCCTGGGATTCCTGGCAGCGAGACGGACCCTTCCTGCCAGAGGGGCACTTGAGGCCCGTGCTGCCTGGCCTCTTCCCGCTGCTCGAATCTGTTCTCTGATGTTCCTCTAAATGTGGTCATCCTCCGGCCAGACTTCCGGACTCCGGCCTTCGCCCAGAGCTTGATGTGGGAAGACGCACTTCTTGGCCTCTTCCACGTTCTGCAGTCCCGTGGCCCATCCCCGTGTCTTTCCACAGTGGCAAGAGGACATCACGCCTCCTCCTCACAGCTCTCCCCCATCCGGCGTCTCTGGCAGGGCCTCCTGTCCTGCAGTCTGCAGGCGTGTGCGTGGTGTCACCGAATGGCAGGGGTCCCAGAGGAGCCCCTGGCTGCGGGGCCCACCAGCTTCCAAGAGGAAGACCAGAGAACTCACAGGCGAATGGGTGGAAAGTGTGATTTGTCCCTACACCCAACATTTCATTCTGATCGCTGGCTCTGCATCCTGTAGGAGCCGGAGAGCGTGTGGGAAAATTGAAATCGCATTTGGTTAATTTGGTTTTAACGTCCTTCCCACCAGAGCTTTTACCAGAGCTATTCATTTCCTCCTTTCATTTTCTCTGTCCAAATTCTGTTCAGGGAGCTCATCGACTATGGAGAAAGGCTGCAGCCAGAAGGAAGGGGAAGTAAGGAGCCTGGATCACCTGCAACTGGACCGTGGGCTCCTGAACTGACCCTCGAATCATGTCCCATCTCACAGGGCCAGTCCTCACCACAAAGCCCTCCTCCTGGGGGCCCCTCCCCCGCAGGGCCCACCCCAGGCAGCCCGGCAGAAACTGCAGCTTTGCTTCTGGGGCGGGAGGGGGAGAGGAGCTGGCTGTTGCCAAGGGAACAAGGAGTCCTGCTGTAAATTCCCGAGGGTCTCAGCCTGGGGACTGGCCAGTGGTCTCCGACATGCAAACCTCCACAGGTGCAGGATGTAAAACAAAAGTGGCCTGAGAGAGGCTGACGGGCAGCTGGCTCCCTACTTTGCATATGCTCATTGGAGGCTAAAGTTAGGTTCTGGCTCACACCAGGTGCACGGGCCACATTTAGCGCCTCCCACCATGGAGCTGGTGGCTGGCCTACGCTTTTGCTAGGACAGGGTCTGGCTTGTCTTTCGGAGACATAGACTGGGCCCCAGGTTATCACTGTGTTGGAGTAAAGTCAAGGGGAAAATCACAACGACTCCTTCCCTTCCCCTCAACCAAGTCTCGACGTCACAGATTTGAGCCCTGGCTGACGCGGACCTGAAGATGTGGGTCACCTGGATGCTGTCAAGCCACCTCCCTCTTTGCTCCTCTCCAGACCTCAAACAGGCCAGATCTCAGCCTGCTAATGCTCACAGACTTTGCCTGAACTTGCCCACCAGCCCGTCTCCTCCAACCTTACTTGCTGTACTCTCACCCCTCTGACCTCTGACCCCCTCATGGGCCTTCCTTTCTGTGGCCAGGCCCCTTCCATCCAGGGCTCAGCTTCCCTGGATTTCAGTTTTGCTTTCCTCCTCAGCCAAGCTCCATCCCATCGCAGTGAGCAGCCTCAAGCCACGCGGGCCTCCAGGTGAGCGCGGCCCAGGCACCTGGACGAGGGTAACCACATCAGAAACCAAAGGGGAGGCATGTCAGCCAAAGAGCACACAGGGAGAGGAAGTCTGTGGGCTGTGTGTGCCGAATGCAGATGTGTGCACCCCTCAGTCTTGTCAGTGCCCCCCAGCAGTGCCTGGGAGGGCTGAGCAGGCCCCTAGAGTCCGGGCCCCGGGAAAAGGGCCCTATTGGCCAAACCCCGGGCACCGATGTTGTGCCAGAGGCATGGTGCTCCCACTGGGGTTTTGAAAGACTACACAGTAGGCAGAGGATTATTATTTTTCCTTTTTAGAAGGGGGCAGGGAGCCCTGGCCGGTTTGGCTCAGAGGTTAGAGCGTCGGCCAGCAGACCAGTGAGACTTGGGTTCGATTCTGGTCAAGGGCATGTACCTTGGTTGTAATTCATCCCCGGCCCTGGTTGGGGTCATGCAGGAGGCAGCCATTTGATGTGTCCCTTTCACAATGATGTTTCTCTCTCTCTCTTCCTCTTTCTTCCTCCCACTCTATCAGAACAAAAATGGAAAAATGTCCTCAGGTGAGGATAAAAAAATAAAAAATAAAAATACAAGGGGGCAGGGGAGGCCCGGCTGGTGTGGCTCACTGGTTGAGCATCAGCCACGCAGCAAGAGGTCCCAGTTCAATTCCCGGTCAGGGCACAAGCCCAGGTTGTGGGCTAGATCCCCAGTTGGGGACATGCAGGAGGCAACCAATCGATGTTCTCTCTCATTGATATTTCTAGCTCTCTCTCCCTCTCCCTTCCTCTCTCTCTCAAATCCATAAAGAAAAAAAATTATCTTAAAATATAAATAAATAAAAATAAAAGGGGGCAGGAGAGGAAAGGGTGGTGGTTTTCGGCAGGGTGCGAGGCGTCCAGTCAGCTGCCTTGTGTCGGTGGCTGTCAGGGATGGACAAAGGCCTGTCCACTGACCCTGTGAGTGGGGGGTGGGCGGGGTCGAGACTGAGGCATGCTCCGAACCCCGCCCAGATGTGCAGCCGGTCAGAGCGCATATGCTTCGAACCCCGCCCGGACGTGCAGCCGGTCAGAGCTCATATGCTCCGAACCCCGCCCGGACGTGCAGCGGGTCAGAGCGCATATGCTTCGAACCCCGCCCGGACGTGCAGCCGGTCAGAGCTCATATGCTCCGAACCCCGCCGGACGTGCAGCCGGTCAGAGCGCATATGCTTCGAACCCCGCCCGGACGTGCAGCCGGTCAGAGCGCATATGCTTCGAACCCCGCCCGGACGTGCAGCCGGTCAGAGCGCATATGCTCCGAACCCCGCCCGGACGTGCAGCGGGTCAGAGCCCAGACGTGCAGCGGGTCAGAGCGCACATCCCCTTTCCGGCCCTAGAGATGAAGGGCTGTTCTCTGGTCGGGAGAAAGCTGCCGATTCCGAGGCTCTGCACCCCGGGGGCTGGTTGTGACCGGATTCTGGTCACTAGAATCAGAGGCGAACAAGCGGGGGGCCAGCCGGGGAGGGCGGCGGGCACTGCTAGGATCGCACGTCCCCACTTGGCCCGGTTTTGCTCGTGGTGTGTTTGCAGAGCTCCCACGGCGGTGGCTGTCCACGGAGCCGAGCACGCGGGCGTCTGCCACTGACGACAGAAGTCTCGAAAGGCTCCGTTCACAGGGAGTTACTGTCTGGTGGGGGAGACAGCTAGAGCTGGAGCACACCGCAGGGTGCACGTGAATGAACAATTACCTGGACAGGCAGCAGGAGGACAGACACCCGGCAGGTCACAGGCAGGCAAGCACAGCGCGGTGCGCCCGAAGGCCAGCCTCGGAGGTGGATCGAGTCCTCGGATGTGGGAACCCACTCCGGCCCGTGCGAAGCTGTCGCTGAGACTGCTGTTCGAACCCGCTTCCAGCATTATCCTCGAGGGGACGTGGGCCCCTCCAGAGACCAGCCACGAGCCTCAGCATCGGTCCCCGCAAGGCAGACACTGTGTGGACGCAGAACAGGCCCGGATGGAGGACGACCAGAAATCAGGTAGCTTCAGAAAACAGTGGCATGGCCGCCCCCCAAACCTCCACGGCGAGCTCAGGCCGGACATGCGGCACCCCGCCGGCGGCTGCCTGTCTGTGTGCGGTGAGGGAGGGAACAGGTGCGCGGGAGGCAAGTTCTCGGAGAAAACGCCTGCTTACCGGGATCGACTGGGAACGGACACGGAGAAGCCTCCTTGCTGCCGAAGTTAAAGCCTTTGGGAGCAAAACCAGGGTTTCTCAACCTGAGCGCTACCTGCACTATGACCTGGACAGTTCTTATCATGGGGGGGGGGGGCTGTCCTGAGAATTGTGGGATGTTCAGCAGCAACCCTGACCTCTACTGACCAGCTCCCGCCTCTAGTCAGACAGTGATGTCTCCCGACACGGTCAAGTGCCCCTGGAGGCAAAATCGCCTGCAGCGAGGAGTCCTGTGTGGATTAAAGGGGTGAACCCAGGCCCCACCCTGCCCCGTGCTTTGGAAGTGCCTGAGCTCCAACATGGATGCACAATCACGGGAGGGTCAGAGGGAGTCACGGGGTCAGTGGGGCGCAGATTCGTATGATGTCTGGTGTCTTTCCAGGAAAACCATTTTTGAGGGTTTCCAGTGTTGACTGCTACAACGATAAACTCCAAACAAACTCATGATTTTGACAAACCGAGTAGAAAACCGGTAAAACTTGTTAGCAACGTGGCTGCATGAGACAGAGGATGAGAGTTTGCAACTCACCCCTCGCTGTGTCCCTCGTGTGCCTAGTCACTCCTTCCGGCCGGGCATCGCCCACGATGCAGACCTCACACCACACTGTGTCTTCAGACTCCTATGAAAACTTTGGCTGTGACCCTCCCATGAGGTCACTTGGCAAACACAGACTTGACTCATGAAGGTCACCTGTGTTTTCTTCTGACTTGAGATGAGGAAAAGAGCTCATCTGGGCCCCAGCGTGATCATGGACACAGGGCAATGCTGGCACCGTGAGCTCCAAGGTGGACCTATGGAGGACCCAGATGATGCTCCTATTCTTTTTTTAAATCCTCACCTGAGAACATTTTTGCATTTATCTTCAGATAGAGCAGGAGGGAGAAAGGGAGGAAGAGAGAGAGAGAAAACATTGATGTGAGTAAGACACTTTGAGTGGTCGCCACCCACATGAGCCCAGCTGGGGCTGGGGACAAACTAACCGAGATATGTACCGTTAGCAGAAACTGAACCTGGGACTCTCCAGTCCGCGGGCCAACACTCTACTGCTGAGTCAAACTGGCCAGGGCGATGCTCCTTTTCTTTAGATTTGTCAACTGGAAAGAATTTCATACTAAATATATATATATATATATTTTTTTATCCTCACTTGAGGACATTTTTCCATTTTTTGTTCCGATAGAGTGGGAGGGGGAGAGAGGAAGAGAGAGAGAAACATCGACGTGAAAGGGACACATCGAGTGGCTGCCACCCGCACGACCAACCAGGGCCGGGGACAAACTGCAACCGAGGTACATGCCCCCAGCGGGAACCGAACCCGGGTCTCTCGGGACCGCAGGCCGACGCTCTAACCGCTGAGCCAAACCGGCCAGGGCCATACTAAATATTTTTAAAGTTCCCATTGAGAGCTCCCAAAATATATTAGGAGACACTCAGAGGAGTTTTGATCCTCTTAAATATGTTTCTTTTTTTAAAATTATTGATTGTATTTTTTAGAGAGAGAGGAAGGAAGAGAGAGAGAGAAACATTGATGTGAGAGAGATACATCCATTGGCTGCATCTTGCACGCCCTCTACTGGGGGATCGAGTCTGCAACCTGGGCACGTGCCATGACCAGGAATCGAACCGGGACCTCTCAGTCTGTGGGATGACTCAATCCACTGAGCCACACCGGCCATGGCAAGTTCTGATCTTCTTTACAGAGAAGCGAGGCCCAGAGAACCGCTCAGGGAAGGAGCTGCAGAGGGTCCGGGCTGGCGGGCTGTGCTCCCACGCGCTCTCCTGGCCTCTGCGTGACATCTCCCACATGACTGCCGCGTGCTGATGAGGAAGGAGCCGCATGAGGTTTGGCTTCTGTTTCAAACGTTCATTCAACTGAACTGAACATGTAAAGTTCATTTTTTAAAGATACTAAATGGAACTAGGGATTTCTCTTTTTTTAAAAAAAAATCCTGATCTTTTATATTTAATAGAATGGTTAGAAAGCATTTCGCTCACACACACGTATTTCCAGGGTGCAGAAGTTTCAGAGTCTTCTCTTTGATCACATTCTTTCCTTTCCTCCAAAAGTAACTGCCCATCCTGACTTTTCTCCTAGTGACATCCTTCAGCATTACCCTCTCCGTCGTCACTCTAAGCGACAGAGTTCAGTTCTGCCCGTTCATAGCTTTCTGTCGCTGGCCCCTGGCTCTGTGTCTGCATCTTGCTCTTTCTGCTCCACAGGACGTTTGTGAAATTCATCGCCACCGAGGTCATTGGCTCTTGTTTTACGTAGCCCTTTACGGATGTTTGGGTTGTGTCCAGCTCGGTATGAACAATGCTTCTATAAACATTCTTGTGTAGTCCCGGCCCGGGGGTATACATATAGAATTTCCCACAGTGGCATTCCTTCCATTGTGAAGAGGGTGTGTGAATTCCCAACCTCAGTAGGAACAGCCACCGTTCCCCCAAATCATTGCTTCAGCTTGGATTCCACCAAGCAGCGAGAGTTCCCATCACTCACCATCTGCATCAGCACCTGTTCTTGTCCAGCTTTAAAAATGGAATAATCTCATTGTGAGTTTAATGTGCATTTCCCTGCTTACTAATAAAACAAAGCTCCCTTTCCCACATGAATTTCCTTGTGTTATGTGCTTGTTCAGGTCTTTTGCCATCTTTCTATGGTCAGATATAAAATTTCGTTTAAAATAAATTTGATCTCAATCACAAAATTGCATTTGGCAGAAAAGTGTGCCCATCTTCCAAGGCACTGTGCTCCCCTGAGAACTGCACATGGTTAAAGGCAAACTCAGACCATAAGCTTAGAAGCGATTGTTTTTCATCTCTAAATATTTGCAAAGATAACAATAGATGTTCACAGAAAAATACCCATCCAAATTTTTTCTCCTCTCACCCCCATTTTTCAAATCTAACATCATTTCATTGACTGTTGCTCCCGTGTAGTTTGCTTATATTTTCATAGAGGACAAACACACCCTTATACATCACAGTCATTTGTTAAAATCACCAAGTGTAGACAAGGTCATTTATTATTCTAGTCTGTATCTCTCAGTGCTGTGTGTTGAATGTATTATTATGAGTTAGCTAACTGTCAGCAATAAAGTAATGGCTCTATTATATATACGGCGTTTGCAGCTGAGAGAATATGAAAAAAATGTATAGATGGCTATGATGTTATACATGTCTAACAAAAATAAATAAACAGCTCTCTCAAGCCTGAGCTCTGGCTTTTACTCACCTTATCTCCTTTAGACATTTGGGTATGAGCTCACTGGCAAAGACCGGAGCCCATATAATCTACCATTATATAAATTATTCAGTAATCTGTGATGTCCTTGTAACATGAGAATCCCCTATTAAAAAAATAAATAGCTGCACTGCTTAGGAGGCATGTGCCTACTATTTATAGCCTTTATAGAAGTCGCGTTGCTCACGAACCCAGTTAGGACTCCCTGGTAATCTATAGGGCTGATGTTTGTTGCAGGGTTTTTACACGAAGCCATTCATTACACGCACTGTGTGGGCGTGTGATGCACACACACACCCAGAGGACCAGCAGAGACAGCCCGAGCAGGTAGGAGTTATTTGTAGAACCGTTTCATTTTCTTCTTAATGCTTTGGACACTCAAAAAGGGACGAGGCGACGACAGGTCACCCACAGATTCCGTATGTATTCCTGACTGTATCCAGGCAACTGGGTGTCTACTTTCCACAAAGTAAACATTGTAGCCTTCTGCTAAAAATGTCAGATTTCCCTCCCAGAGAAGTGGCCTCCTGGGAGGCTGAGCCTTCCTTCTTACCTTGTCTGCCCTCAGGCGCACGTGACCTGACAGCCGGGGTGGGGCCTGGGTTGCACACAGTGGGAGTCAAGGAGCAGCTCACCTCAGTTCTCATCCTGTACAGGCTGGAGAGAAAGAGACAGGTGTTTATTTTTCATAGTTTAATTTTCGATCAGGAAAACGTTTTATGACTATAGAAACATAATTGGTATGCGGACAAAGCAATTCTCTTTATAATAGGCCCATGGAAGCCGGAATAGCCATGTAACTACATTATTCATGCAGTCTATGTCATGCTGATTTGGAGGTGACAATTATTCAAAAGGTTTGACCATTGTGCATCAGGTCATGTCTGAAAAGCCGGCGCGGACGGAATTCTCAGCGTTTTGAGAAAAGTGTAGACTGGTGAGTGAGGTTGAATTACATGAACTTGTATTTAAATTTTTCCAACACTTCACCGAGTGTTCAGTGGTAAATAAGCTTCTGAAACATGAAAACACACAGAAGCTGTACAAATCATCAGCAACAATTTAAAGTTGAAATATGAAACTAGATATTTAAAAAATTAAATTAGCGCCAGGAGATTTTGCTATACACCCATGAGAATGTGACACAAACCTCCGCATGTGGTGAGATAGCACAGCGCTAACTAACATGCACCCAAATAAGTGCATGTGAGACAGCGACATCTGAGCAAGATCTGGGGATGGCCCCACGGGCAGTCTCCGGGCGGAGATTTGTGTTCGAGTCCGCGAGATGTTCCCACCGGTGAAAATCGGGTAAAGAACACATGGTATCTCGCTGTATGATGTCTTCCCGTTGCATGTGACTCTGTAACGATTTAAAAATAAAGTGTTTCATTAAATTTTAAAAACTAAATGAAACCTGCTGTTCTCATTATAGACATCTGTTGACTTTCTGGGGAAGCCTGAAAAAAAAAGTTCAAAGTGAAGGACAAAGGCAGAGGCTGGAGCTATTCCTGCGTGTGTGTGTGCGCGCTCCTGCACGTGCATACGTGTAGAAGAACGGTATCAGCAGAGGTTATTTGGGGGAGGCCAGGGCAGGGTAGGGCCAGTGGGGATCTGCTGTGTACTAATGAGGAGGTTTCTAGGGGCAAAGGAAGGGACAGATGGGAGCTCTCTCTGGGGCTCAAGGTCCAACCACGAGCTTTCAACTCCAGGAACGCAAACAGGCACCATTAGATAGAGCCAGAATTACTCCAACTGCTGGAGCCATTTTTTTTTTTTTGTCAGATTCAAACCGTGGAGAACAGTGGATTATCTTCGGTGGCTGTGAATGGGGTTGAATTAGTCACCACAGCTTCAATTGTGCTTCTGCCTGGTTATCAAACTGCAATTCCATTGACACCCCCTTGGTGAGCGTATCCTCTGAGCACCGTGGAAACGAGCTCTGCCTGAACGGAAAACCTGTCCTGGGTTTGTAGTCACAACATGACCTGACTTACTCAGATCTCAATGAATTCAACTTGAGCACAATCCAAGGTGCAGAAAATAAGAGGTGATGAAGAAAGAAAAACAACGGTGAGTCGAGGCAGGTTGGGTTAGGCTCAATGGACCCTTAGACCCGGACTGAATGTGGGCCTCCCCTCCACCCCAGAGTCGGATGCGAGTAGAATAGACTAATAAACCCCCCGGCTGGGTGGAGGGGCCTGAGAGTCCGGAGATTACTGGGGAAAACAAAACAAAACATACTTAGCTTTCTGTTCAAGACCACAACTCTCAAACTGATTTCTTTTTAAAAAATTTATCTTTTGTTGTTGAAAGTATTACAGATGTACCCCCCTCTTTCCCCATTGACACCCCCTTCCAGCCTTCACCAAACTATTGTCTGTGTCCATTGGTTATGCATATATGCATATATTCTTTGGTTTATCTCTTCCCATTCCCCCTCTTTCCTTCCTTCTGATTTCTTTTTCTTTTTTTAATCCTCACCTGAGGATATTTTTTTCCATTTATTTTCAGATATAGTGGGAGGGAGGTAAAGAAGGAGAGAGAGAGAGAAACATCGAAGTGAGAGACATCGACTGGTTGCCTCCCGCCCGACTGCAGCCAGGGCTGGGACTGAACTGCAGCTGGGGCACGTGCCCTTGACTGGAACTGAACCCGCGACTCTTTGGTCCGCGGGCCAACACTCTAACCACTGAGGCAAACCGGCCAGGGCTCTCTGATTTCTTAATAGAAATTCACAACATGTACCTTGTTGGTTCCTTAATTCCACATCAGAAAATATCAAGTTTTGCTGTATCTGTTTCTCAGTCGCTCTATTTCTAATCATCTACCGTCCTGGGTCACGTGCTGTCTGCCCTTCAGGTGCTCGTGGTTGTCCTCGGTGCGCTTTGTTCAGGTAACTTGATGGATCCCCACCGGGCACTTTCAGCTTGAACAGTGAGGTCTGCTTTTCTGTCACAGTTCTTAGTGGCCCAGCAGAGAAAGACAGATGCTTTGGGGTAAATAATGGAAACATGATGACCTTTGGGCCAGACACATCTGCACTTGTGTGTGACCTCATCAGCTTCTTTGGATCTGAATAGTGGAGGTTAAAAGTATAGACTTTAGGGTCAGACCACGTGATTTGAATCCTAGCGCCACTGCACACTGCCTGGGTGTCCTTGGATAAAATCCTAAGCCTCTCTAAGGCTCGCTGTCTGCCCCTGTCAAATGCACGTGGCAGACACAGCTGGTTTTCCTAGTTCCCTAGTAACGGACCCTTGGTTTTGAGCTGGACACCTGACCTCCCAAAGAAAGACAGTACTTGTCAACCTGCCATGTAGCTGGGCAGGGCTACGCGCCTGTTCTGAAATACCATGTGCGATTTCGGGGAGGCCCTACAGGAAGGGTGTGTGCCGTTCGTCAGCCCGTCCACCCTGCTTCCCGGAACGGGACACGGTGCTGGGCCTGAGACTCAGACCGTGAAGGTGGGCGCAGGCTGTAGGGGTGACAGGGTTGAAAGCTAGAACAAGCTGCTGTCTCTGGACATTCTAAATGTTTTGAACTTACTTTACACTTTTTGATGTGAGAGAACAGAACTAGTGTGTTTAAGCCACTATCCCTTTAGGATTTTGTCACACTTGGATGAAACTAATCCTAGCTGATAGAATGGGGTGATAGCTACCAATTGACACGAGTGAAGAAGGCAGAGCCGGGACCCCCCCAAAAAAACTCTCCTCTGTAAAGGCATTGAGGAAACTGGCAAACATGGTCAGAGTCAACTTTTTCAAAACACTACAAGTTAACACAAAGCTTTTTGGTTAGCCTATTTATTCCATCTGTAGACATTTATTGAACAAAAACATGACAACGTCAACAGAGTCCCAAAATACATGAAACAAAACAATTGAATTGAAGGGAGAAATAGATAATCTAGCAATAGTAGTTGGAAACATTGATGCTTCACTTTCAATAATGAATACACGAATTAAACAGGTCAACAAGGAAATGAAAGACTTGAGCAACACTGTAAACCGATCAGATCTAACAGGTATCTATGGAAACTCCACCCAATCACAGCAACACACACATGCTTCTAAAGTGCACATAGATCTTTCTCCAGGATAAATCATATGTTTGCCCACAAAACATGTCTCAATAATATTAAGAGGATTAAAATCACACAAAGTACATTCTCTAATCACAATAAAATTAGAAACCAGTAACAGAAGGAAATTTGGAAAGTCCACAAATATGTAGAAATTATACAACATACTCTTTTTTTGGGTACCTGCCCCTAGCGGGAACCAAACCCAGGACTCTCTGGTCCTCAGGCCAATGCTCCAATCGCTGAGCCAAACTGGCCAGGGCATACAACATATTCTTAAATAACCAATAGGTAAAAAAAATAAATAAATAAAAATAACTAGGGACTTTAGAATAAGGACGTTGATATGAATGAAAATGAAAACAATAAGTTCAAACAAAAGAAAATACCAAGTCTGATGGGATGCAGCAAAAAACAGTGCTTAAAAGGAAATTTATAGCTGTAAGTGCTATATGAAGAAAGAAAAAAGATCTCTAACCAAGTTCCACCTTAAGAAATTAGAAAAAGAAGAGCAAATAAATCCAAAGGAAACAGAAAGAAAATAGCAATAAAGATTAGAGTGAAAATAGAGAGGAGAAAAGGAGATATAACCAACAAAACTAAAAGGTGGTTATTTTGAAAGATAAAGAAACTGACAAACCTTTAGTTAAGCAAAAAGAAAGCCCAAATCATGACTATCAGGATGACAAAAGAATTATACCGACTTTATAGAAATAAAATCAGTTATAAGAGAATAGTATGAACAGTGTATTTCAACAATTGAGATAACCTAGATGAAATGGACAAATTCCTAGAAAGACACAAACTACCAAAACTGACTCAAGAAGAAATAGAAATTCTGACTAGACCTATGACAAGAGATTGAATTAGCCATAAAAAATTTTCCCACAAAGAAGAGCCTTGAACCAGATGACTTCACTAGTGAATTCGACCTAAAGTTTGTAGAAGAATTAACACCCATCTTTTAGAAACTCTTTCAAAAATTAGAAGAAGAGGAGATACTTCCTAACTCACTCTGTGAGGTTAGTAGTATTCTGATGCTAAAACCAAAGACATTCACGAGGAAAGAAAAATTCTCAACAAATATTAGCAAACTGCATCCAGCAACATATACAAAAATCATATTAATTACATTACATATTACATACACTATATAACATATATCAAATGACACAGTAAATGCATAAGACCAGCACATAATAAGTGCTCCATGAATGTTCATTTCTTTCCTGTTTTCCTATGCCTGTGACAGAAATGACCACTGTTGACCAATCTGGTTTCCCTTATAATTTGTGGGTTCTATGTTTGCAAATTTGCCTACTTGCTAAAGTTTATTTGTAAACCCCCCCACCCCCCCAATCAATACTCATGTTGCTTTCATAGTCATCATGGACATGGGCAGATGGTGAGAAATTTGTGTTGATACGCATGTTCCAGCTGAGGTAATACAAAGCATTTTTTACCTTCTTGTTTCAGCTCTTATACTATAAATGTGTGTCCTTTTTGAGGACTATTTAGTGACATTTTTGTACTTTTTGGTGGAGACGTCACTCTTAAAATGGTTCCCAGTGCAACGCTGACATGCTGTCTAGAGTTCCTAAGCACAGGGCCGTGATGTGTCTTATGAAAAAAATACGCATTAGAAAAGCTTTATTCAGTCATGAGTCATAGTGCTGTTGGCCATGAGTTTAATGATATTGAGTCAACAATATATATTAAATAAGGTGTCATTAAATAGATACACACATACAACAAGGTTATATATTGATCAGTTGATGAAAATGTAGTGTCCAGAGGCTCATAGGAACCTAACTCTGAGTGTCCCCTAGGGGCAATGGTCCAGTGTTCTCTAAATCAGGGTTGGCAATGACTTTATAGAACATACCTACCACCAATAACAAGAATAGGCTGTACATGTCCCCTGCCGTAATAGATGAAAGCACATGGCTACAGTATCTACATTCCTTTCATCAAGAGACTGTTTCCCCATACTTTGGATCTGGGCTGGCCTTTGACTGCCCTTGGCCATTGGAATGTGGCAGAAGTGTTGTGCAAGCTCGAGAGAGCTTGCAGCTTTTACCTTTGACCCCTTGGAACACTGACCCAGGGCTCTCGCGTAAGGAAGGCAGCTGAGCCTGCTGAAGGATGAGAAGCCACCTGGAGAATCGAGGCACCCAGCCAACAGCCAGCGCCACTACAGACACATGAGTCTGGGACTTTTCAGCTTCTCTGGCCCTGACTAAATACAGCTGTATAACAAACCCAGGCAAAAGCAGCAAAGGAGCTGCCCGGCCTACTTACAAAAACACGAGAAATACTACACTATGTTTTTGCAAGCATAAGTTTGAGGTGGTTCATTTTACAGGGACCGCTCATGGATACACCTGCCTGCCTGGAGTTCAGTGTGGCCGTGGGACTTGCTTTGCGAATGGAATATGACACATGTCACTTTCCGGTGGAAGCATTTATTTGCCCCCTCCCCTCCCTGCTCTGTCCCTGCTGTGGCAATCAGGGGAGTGTGATAAGGAAGAGCCACGAGAATGAGTCAACATGTGAGGGCAGTTGCCCTGGGTAACTGGCCAAAGCAACAACAACGGTGTGAGCCATGAATGTCGCTGTGTAATCCTATGACTTGGAGGCTGTTTGCTACCACAAATAACTACCCTGTCCGGATCGATACAGTTGGAATAGTAGGACTGGAGATTTAAACAGACATTGTCTATGCGAGACATTTTCCCCACCCACCTAAGAAGCTCCAGATTTATCTGGGGAAAGGAAGTTAGGCTGATAGTTCAGGGCAAAGTTGGCTGTCAAGGATTAAGGACACATACTAAGTAGCCTCTTTGAATCCATTCATTCCATATACATTGGTTGGTGTCCTTACCAGTTAATTGTACAAAAGATATTCTTGGGCCACCCTGGTGCTAATCTGATAGTCTTTGGAGAACAAAGAGGTGATCCGGAACCAGGTCAGGAGATATAGCATGCCGAGGAGAACAGAACACCGGTCAGCTGACCTTGCTGTCTTTGCTGAGCTGTGTCCCATTATCACAGTCAAGTTCACCTTACAGCTCAACTAGCCTGCAACAATTTTCTCATGTGTCAAGTGAAATGAGAAGTAAAATGTGCCCTGAAATCTAAATGGTAGCTGATTAAAAAAGCAATGGTCCCACAAAATAGATGCTATAGTATTGTCCTGTGAGCCTAGTCACCTTCCCTGCCTTTGATATGTAAATAAATGTACGACGTATGCATGTACATGAACGAGGATAAATATTTGCATCTTTATTAAAAACACACACATACACAAACCTAGTTACTTCTAAAGGTAGGCCCTGCATGGAGGCGGACAGTGGTTAGGTTTGCAGATTGTAGCAATCTGCTACAGTCTGAATGTGTGTGTGCCCCTAAAATCATGTTAAATCCTAACACCCCACATGGTGGTATTAGAAGGTGGGGTCCTTGGAGGCGATTAGATCATGAGAGCAGAGACCTCATGAATGGGATTAGTGTCCTTATAATAAGAGGCCCCAGAGAGCCCCCTAGCCCCTTCCTTCCTGGGAGGACACAGGGAGAAGTCTGTGACCAGGAAGAGGGCCCTCCCCCACCCACGCCGGCACCCTCTTACACTTCCAGCCTCCCGAATGGTGGTACTTTGTTACAGTAGCTGTAAGGACCATGTTTCTGCACAGAACACCCTTAGCTTAGCGAGGCGGGGCTGTGTTAACAAGCAAGGAGGATTTTCATTGCTCAGGAAGCAGGCTTAGGTCTGGCTGTCACCCACAGACAGAACATGGATCCACACGTGAGACAGGACAGGGCTGAGGAGAGGGAATCTTTTTTTTTTTTTTTTATCCTCACCCGAGGATATTTTTCCATTTTTTGTACAGATAGAATGGGAGGGAAAGAGAGGAAGAGAGAGAGAGAAACATCGACGTGAAGGGACACATCGAGTGGCTGCCACCCGCACGACCAACCAGGGCCGGGG